CGAACGACTCAAAACTACAACATACCGTATTGATACAGTTGACCTTTGCCGGCAGATCTATCTTCAGTTTCTTCAGAGCATCCTCAATTGCTGGATCGTGAAAAGTCAAGGTCTTCAATTACAGAATGGCAAAGAAATCATTAATGATTTTCGATGAAAAAAATAAAGACGTCACGGCAACAAATTACGACCATGCAGAATCATATTCACGCAACTTTCCTCCCCCACCATGAAACATGACAAGTCTTTGAGACCACGTAAAAAATCCATCTCTGTCCATTTAGCCTCGCCAGATCTCAGATCTGCAAAATCATTTCACGATCCGATCTTTGATCGTTCTTGATTCTAAAAAATTCACGGTTTATACCAAATTTCCCTGTTGTTGACGCTAGAAATGAACCCATCAAATTTCTTGCATCTAAAGGAGGCGTAATCTCTCTTTTTATCACTTTTTTTTTTCGGAGAAGAAAAAGAAGCTTAATTTATACCAATTAATCAGAAATAGCTCAGGTTCCAAAAGCTCAAATCAACGATCCGACTCCGATCTAACAAAAAGAAGATAGATCATATGGTAGCTCTATCAATCGGGAGATCCAAGCAAAAAAAAAAAAATCATTTGAGGGGAAAATTTTGAGGAAACGAGCGTCGACAACGGAGAACCGTAAATTTCTTAGTCAAGAATCTCCGAAAAAAGTCGGACGAAAAGCTCCAAGATAAAGAAAATCAATGAAGAGAAAATAGATCTGACCAGATAACAAGAAGACCCACGAGATTGCATAATAAACCGAAGATTAAACAGGAAAATAAACAAAAATATGACACAGGATACGTTTCTCCGGCTTCGCCTTGGCGTCCATCAGATCGCACCACAAGTCTCCGCAGAAGAACCCTGAGTTACTCGTCGCCTCCAGCTCGAAAGGCGTCCGAATCGACCTACTCCCACGAGACCCAAACCCCGACCAAGGGAGCCGTTCGTCGCCGGAACCGGAGCAGGAGCCGTTTCCGACGAGCGGTGGTGGGGGCGGAGACGGAGGCGTGGGATTCGGAGGGATTGGAGCCCGGGAGAAAAAGGACGGCGAGGAGGCGCCCACGACAGTCCTCGAGGCGCGATCTAGCGGTCCACGAGGTTTTGCGCTCGGCAGCAGCAAATGGGCTCTCGTCCGTCCGATGATCTCGAGTGGGTGGGCGGACGCAGCTAAAATCTAGAGGGCAACGATCTGGTGCCTCGTGGGATTCAAGCCGTTACGAATTCCAACCAATCAGAACGGCAACAGCAGCCCAACTAGGCGAGGTTGACTTTGTCGTTTTTGGGGGTCCCGGTTAAGCTATATACAGGCGCCGTAACCGATGCCAGACTCACGCATGGTTCCGTGTACATGCATGTGTGTGATGCTGGATGTGACATGTAATGCCATCTTGGTGGTATGGCCACCTCCCGGTGGACTAACCGAAGGACTAGTATGCCGAGTAAAACCGGCATCACGATAAATATTTAAATCTCTATCGAAAGATTGAGATGATATCGATTCCATGGAAGCAAATTTTCATGTCAAATTTAGAATGGGAAGGTAATAAATCATGAGATATGCAATCGACATTTACGCATGCCATTAAGTTCATGATACATACGATCCATATCCATAAACATGTTCGGGATCGGCATATCATTATTGCCTAAAATAAATATTCAGGGGATGGACCGGACAAGTTGCTCAATGCGGCATATAATATAAGATGATGGAGGCGAAGACTTCATGGCATGCTGCCGTGTCAAATGATGACTTTGTTTAATAACACAGAGATGCTGCGCGTCCCTTTCTTTTAGACCTTCCATTAGAAGATATTAATCATCTTCGAGTTACATCACATTATTATAAGTATTCTAAGTAGATAATTGAGTCCATCAAATACCTTCTAAATCACAAAATTCGTAGATAAAGTCAAGTATTCTTTTGTCCATCGTTGCAGGATGCTCCATGGCATAAAATGAGTGTATGACCACGGCGCGGTTTCAGGACATTGCATTCGGTCTCTTTTACGAGAAGACTCTCTCTCTCTCTCTCTCTCTCTCTCTCTCTCTCTCTCTCTCTCTCTCTCTACACTTTGCTTAGCGATGAAGCTTTGGGTGAGTCATCCATCCCAAGTCTCGGGAAATTTCCGCGAAGGACTAAGAGAGAGAGAGAGGGGAAGCGCACCAGATCGTAATGGGTGACGTGGATGCACGTCAGGCGTTGGAACGGTGTGGCGCGAGAAGCCCTCTCTCCCACCACGTTTCGTGCTGTGAATGGTCACGGCGGCCTTGCCACTAGACCTGCCGGGTGGTAAGGTGCACCGCGTCTCTCCCGGGTTATTAAATTGCACCGGCACGTTGGTGATGGTCTACGGTGCGTGAATGCTACCATATCAACTGTCTCAGTAACTTGAGATTGTTGTGCTACGTGCTTCTTTTTCTTTCCACAGGATATGTATGAGTCACTTGGCATTATAAACAACGCTTCTTTATCTTTAGGCAGGATCAGATGCTGGAGCGGATTGCAATCATACAGTGATCCATAGGTTTTTTTTTTTCTCTTTTAATAAGAATATAGGGAGAAAGTCGAGTGATGGTGGATGCGAATGTGACGTAGAATACTAAGTATGATCGGACGGTCAAGATCGTGAGTTTTGCACCACTCTAAATCTGGACCGTAGGACATCGAACGGCTGTGATTGATGGATCCTTAAGTTGGAGACGGCTCGACTTGGGGCCACCGGATTAGGGTTTTGGGTTATAAGGCGTCGACGGCGATAAGGCGACTCGGTCGTCTTCTCTTTGGAGTTTCGGTGGTAGATCGGATTCAGCCTCTTCCTCCACCATGGTATGTATGCTTTTCTTATCTGGTTTCGATCTCAAGGGATGCGTTTTTTTGTTTCATCTCTGCTTTCCATGTTGTGTTCTCGTAATCCGTCTCCTCGGGGAACTATATGGGTCTCCAGTGGTGGCCTGTAGAACATACTAAAATCGATGGAAGATGTTACTCAGAAGCAACTCTTTGATGGAAGAATGATCTTATGCTTCTTTGCTGAAAATTGCGTTTTCTTTTTAGAGCATTTTGATCTTTTTTGGATATGGAATGACCATTTAATCAAGTCTAACAAAAGAACTTACCATTTCGAGATCATACGGGAGTGATATAGTTGATGAACAGTCGCAGTTGTCGAGTTCACGATGATTAATGGTTGGCATTTGATATATTTTTGGTCGTTCCTAATAGCAAAAATAATAATTCCACGGAATGATAATTTTGCACTTCGATTGTTGTCTATGCATCAGACGTGTTTCTTGATGTCATTTCACTAATTCATTGTGTTGGTGCCCTCAAATCAGCAGCATTGTCTCTTTAAGCTGTCGAACTACTAGTGATCTTTAAAAGGTTATTTTGTGTCTTCACGCTCAGTTTTTAGCACTAATAGTAGCTAATCTTTGTTTTGATGGAGTACAGACGAAGCGCACGAAGAAGGCTGGAATTGTTGGCAAATATGGTACTTGATAGTTCGATCTAAGCCAACATTCTGGCTTTGACCTCCAATGGCTTCTAATATGGTTTTTGATGCTTTAGGCACTAGATATGGTGCAAGTTTGCGAAAGCAAATCAAGAAAATGGAGGTTTCTCAGCATGCAAAGTACTTGTGTGAATTCTGTGGGAAGGTATGGCTTCTTTTGATTTGCATGTTGTTGCATATTTTGCAAGGTATCCTTGTAGCATTCTTATTCTCAAGTGTTGGTGGTGCCATAAAAAAGTTTTAGCTTAATTTAATGATCATCTTCTCTTCCAGTATTTGCAGTGAGCTTGACTAGTTGAAATGACACAATAACTAGAGCAAATGCCATTTACACATTTAAATGGATAGTTTCATACAGGGTTTTTAATTTTGTACTGTACCGCCTGGTATGGGTGGTACATACCGGTAGCACGCGAACTGCACGCTATCGAGCAGTATCAAGCTTGATACAGGGTTGTATCAGACGGTAACGATTGAAATTTCAATCGTTATTAACATGTACCTGGCAGTACCGATCGAAACCGATTATTACGAATTGATAACAGTCTTCAAATGGTCAATTTGACTGTTGGAGACATCCTAAAGGTTTTTAAACCCTTTCCTATTTTTTTTTAATCCATTTCACTCTCACATTTTTTTAAACTCTCTTCTAAAGGTATAGTGAACCGCTCAATACATCCATATGGTAGGAGATTAAAATCTTGATTTCATATACAGGTGACAAGGTCAATTAAAGTTTTAGCTGCCCTCCTTTTAATTGCACTACATAAACATATTGCACTACTCGAAAAATATTTATCACAATGTAGTTGCTTTTCAAATTGCTACCCTCTCTTTCTCTCTCTCACTCTTTCTGTGTTTGTCATCTTTTCATAATTGAAACCTGTATATTATTATTTGTGTTTTTCTGTCACCTTCCTATCAGTTTGAGTTCTTGATGATACAAGTTGGTTTTGATGCTTCTTCAGTATGCCGTGAAAAGAAAAGCAGTTGGGATTTGGGGCTGCAAGGATTGCGGTAAAGTCAAGGCAGGCGGTGCCTATACATTGAAGTGAGCGAGCTACTTGTAGTTTCTTACCTGTTTAGATATACAATTATTCTCTTCTTACTTACACTTCGATACTCTGCAGCACTGCTAGTGCTGTTACTGTGAGGAGCACTATTCGTCGATTGAGAGAACAGACTGAAGCGTGAAAATGCTGTCCGAGTATTATATGTCGGTTTAGTGATGTCGAGCAACCGTTGACATCTTTTCCTTGACTTGCTTAATTAGTGATTTGACTTTTTTGTTTTTCATGGTAAGAGCAATTCAAGATTATCTGACCGGTTATAAATAATGGTTCATGGATTTAATGATTTAATACTATTGTTTGGGTTTTAATCTTTTAATATTGTAAAATCAAACTTTTTTTGACATGGGAAGATATTGTCAAGGCTGTCTTTTATTTATTTATTTTAAAATGCATTGATTAGTTTTATATATAATATAGATGTTGCAAATTAGATTGGAAGCCATTCGACGTGGGCTAGAACATATTTCTAATTCAACTTGTTATCACCCGCGATTCTTGAGGTCGATTTCCCGCACGTTGATCTTTTGAATCGTAACCGTCGGTTCTTGAGGTCGAACTCCCACAGGTGCTCCTGCTGCAGGATGTTACCGATGACGGAGACGCCCGGCCACGGCGTTGCCACTATCCCCAGGCACTTCACCCCGTCCGCCGCGTTGATCACGTAGCTCTTTGCAGGCGGCTTCAGCGACGCCGATTCGGCCAGGTGAACCACCATCCGCGGCAGGTTCTTGGCCGCGTTCGTCGGCGCGGTCGTCCAGTTGTAGCAGTACTCGAACGGGTCCATTTTCACCCTGGGGATCCCGGCCAGCCGCCGGTTCAGCGCCGACGCCACCGCCAGGTACGCCGGCTGCGCCAGCACGGTCAAGCTCGTCCCGGAGTCGAGGATGGTGCCGCCGCCCGCGCTGAGGTCCCACACGTCCTTGGGGATGGCCAGCATCTCCCCGTCCACGGAGATGCCATCGACGCCGACCGCGTAGAAAGGCTCCAGATCGAGGACGAGAGAGGTCTCGGAGGGAAGCGGCGGGGAGAGGACGGCCGGCCTGTGGCCGAAGACGAGGAAGTCGGAGGCGTTGCGGGGGCTGAGGTGGTCCACCAGGCAGTAGGAGAAGCGGCCGCCGAAGCGCGCGGTGGCTATCGTCGCGAATGAGATGTTGCTGTTGCCGAGGCCGAGGACGCCGTCCGCCGCCTGGAAGCTGGATCCGGTGGAGTCGGACGAGCAGCCCACCACCAGGTCCCGCAGATTCGTGTGTTTCCCGTTGGATAGGACGACGGTCGCCGACTCGTTGGCGAAGACGCCTTGGGCCTTCGATCCGTCGCCGTACCTGCCACGGACAGCATCGCATGAAGCCAAAACCACACCGCACCTTCGGCCTTCTTCTGAAGGACCAATTGATTCGATTCACGTGACCGCGAGAGTGGCTTTAGGGGAATTATAACAAACAGAAGATGGGATATGATGCGACGTTACCTGTAGTCGAAAGAACATGGCGTCGTCGGCGAGGGGCACTCGATCAACGAGAAGGGCAGCGAAGTCTTGCACATCTCCGAGGAGCACGGGATGGGCTGGAAAGACGACGACACCTCAGGGTGGAAAACCCGGGTCCCGTTGCCGTCGCCATTGCACAGGCGGCACCCGGGCAAACGCAGCCGGCACTTGACCCACGTGAGGTCGCTCCCCGTGTCGGCCACGAGCACGAAGTGCTGCGCCGGCTTGCCTAAGAAGAACTGCACGAAGAACTGCGCATTACCCGTGTCCACGCCCGAGTTGAGAGGCATCATGAAGGACTGCGCAGGAGGCGAGACTTCGCTCGCCCTCCGACCGTGGAGGCGCCGCCCGAGCCTGTCGTGGATGATCGCTTGCCGGAGCTGGTCGTCACGGAAGAGCTCCTGCATGCGTTCGAGCTGAGTAGAGCCGGCGGATGCCGGGCGGCGGAAGAGCTTGAGACGAAATGAAGTCGAACGCTTTCCCAAAGCCAAGGCAAGGAATGCATGCGAGCAGACGAGCAGTAAGAGGAAGACCCGAGGAGACATTGCAGTCGAAACGCAGCTACAGAAGCGCTCTCTCTCTCTCTCTCTACGATTCGTGTCTACTTGGCTTTCCTAAAACATCATTTGCTCTCTATATATGAAGCTTCTCGTTAAAGCAAATGCCGCATTTTTCTCTACCAACCTTCTTCGTGCTCCGAAGTTGGACATCGATGTGCTATTCTTGGAAGAACCAACAGTGAGTCGTTACATTTGACAGTCTTGGAGGGATATGGTGATGAGCAGAACAACGCTGGCTATGATGTTGCACAGAATTCCAACACTGTCTCGGAGCTGCACGATGGGAAATGGACGACTGGAGTCGCGGGTCAGGCAATAGGCACAAGCCGTTGGGCCTCTTGGGGTCGGCTGGCATGCAGAATGGAAATAGAACGTACGTAACAGGGAGAAGACTTTATGATGGTTAATGGGACCTCTTTATGATGCACTTATCTCATCCGATTCTATCTATTTAATCATATTTATTTAGCTTAAGCCCGACAAGGAGTCGAAACGTTAGTTTTATCTCGAAATTGTCTTGCTCTAGGAAAAGCCTGCCCCCTTAATTTAATATGAATAGTTTATTCATTTATATTTCAAATATAATTTCATCCTATGCAAATAATATTACAACTATTTCAATAATTTATTCACATTCAGAAGGTGAAAAAATCGGTATCTCTAAATTTGAGTAAGAACAAGATTTGATCAATGGAACCCCTCCGACTCGTATCGAAAAGGAAGCTTATAAAACAATTCTTAGATAAAACTCTGTAAATACAACGACGACGAGGACGAGACCAACTATGCTACACTTGAAAGAGACCACATGCTATAATAAAAGAGAAAAGGATAAAAAAGTATGGGCAAAAAACAGCTACATAAATGTAAAAGATCATGGCTTCCATACAATAACTAGTAAATAATCATCAATTACAAACTTCAATAGCTACAAACCGGCACACGCATTCACTTGCTATATACAAACAGTAGCTGTAGCTCACAGCTAGCTTATTACACATCTCCTCATCCATATAATAACTAGCAAGCGACCCAAAACTACAAACATCAATAGCTTCAAACCGACACACTCCTCCAGACTAGCTAGGGGTTCTGGCTTCACTTGCTAAATACAAGCAGTTGCTCTAGCTCACAGCTAGTTTTATTAGACATCTTATATTTCTAAGCATGGTAGCTAAGATACCCAACAACCTTCTTTTTTTTTTACTTTCAGACCTCACCAAATACGTGATCTTATCTGCATTAGGCAATTTAATTCAGGACGTCCAGAAACTGGGTGCAATCGATCCCTCTTTCTGTAAAGGCTGACACAAGCTTTGGGAGAAGTTTAGCAAGCATGATCTTAAACCCAGTAGAACAACTGTTGTGACATTTGTCGGCTGCTTCTCTGCATGCATCAGCATGCCCAACCTGAGCGCCATCCAAATATGCCTTACAAGCACTGAGAATATGATGTGACCTATGAGTAAAATGCTCCTCAACAAGTGCCTCAAAGTGCTGCAATTTCAATAAACCAGCAAGTAAGCTAAGTTGCAGGACCATCCGGAAACTAATAGCATAAATTACATAACGAAAAGAAGGTAGTTTATTTCCAAAGTTACGTTGGCTTTTAGTCATCTTACCTTCGGTGGTCTACGTAAGATGTATAGCATCGACTTGCACGACTGTAGAAAAGCATTCTCATTGTACGTGATCGAGTTCTTCTCAGCCTCGACTCTTCCAATCTGTTCATCATATCCCGCCTCATTAAAATACGGCTTCTCATTAAGAACAAGGGCCTGAAGTGATAGCAACACTTGAAGAATTGTCGAGTTTTCTGGATCCCATACTTCGCTGCCACTTCCCATCCATGTCTTTAGTAGGCTGAGACAAACCTTCCCTGACTCGTACAAGTTTGGGTTTAGTCGAAGCCCCCCAGAGATGTAGTGAACAACCTACATAATAAATGTTTCTCCCATTAAAAAAAGCCTACCCTCAAAGCTCCAAACCACTAGAGTATGCAATATATTTTGGAAGAAATAAGTGAATCTAAATTTGCCAAGCACTCAAAGCATATTAAGGACTGACTTCTTTTGGAGCCTAATTATGTGGTGCAAGAAGACTCCTGACTCAAGAAAGAAGCACCTCGCATGATAATTTTTGAAGGATAATCAGTTCCAAACATCAAGATGTGCTTACAATAACTAATACCTAAATGCTCAAAATACTAATTTTGATTTATAAACCAAAAGAATAGTGTTTTGCTACTTGCAAAATATAATGACACCACTAAAGCAATCAGCATATAGATCCTTGTAAGATCCAGACCACCAAAACAATAATGAGACATGTTTTGAAGAAAAGAAATTTTGTGAAGTTGTCAAGTATTCAGAGCTAATAAGGCACCAAGACTTTTTGGAGCTTAGTTGCAAGATGCAAGGCAATGCATGAATAGTTCAAGAGAGCAGTTAGAATGACATCTAAGATAAAATACTTTTCAAATGAAAGTTAAGTAAACAAGGTTATCTGCAGCTTTGTCGGAACGTGCAATGTGTGATGCATACCTTGTTGAGAAAGCAATTATCTTGACCATGGAGATAAAGTAATCTTAAAGATGACAGTGAAACAAAGTGAAAATCAAACTGTACTCAAGTTTCCTAGAGTTCATTTCATCAAAGATCTAGATTTTCGTTGAAAAAATGTCATTGCCAACTTGACGTTGATTGTAGGTCAGATACTCTTTATAATATAATTAATCACATATACCTGATAGTAACAAATTAAGAGCTAACAAAAAGTTAATGCAACATTATGGGAGAGACATCCATTAGGGAACGCATGGGCCTAAAGATGCACCTCACTCAAAACTGTGAGTAGCAACTAAGATAAAACCCAAAGTCCAGTAAGCCTTCCCACTAGGAACACGTGAGGTGATAATTTAATAATATTAATTTATCCTTCATCGAATAAATGCTATTACTGAAGATAGAGATACCTAAGAAACATAGGCAAAGACATGCTGTCATGCAATAGAAATAATTGGCTGGCATTAGACTTGCAAAATTTTCATCTAATCTCTAACCATTTTGTTTAATATTCAGAATATGGAAATCATCACTCAGTAGAACTATCACAGGTAATGAAGTTTAAGGTATGATAAACTAGAAAATAAATAAAATGTATATATGCATTAACATATGATGCAACCACACTCCATTTCTCAATTTTTGGAGTACTGAAGAATGAAACATATCCATTAGCACTAGCCAACGTGACCACAGAACCAATAAGAGTGAGAGAATCAACATATACTTGTACACTTGTTATCAGAACATGTAATCTAATATCATATTATCTCCTTTTGTGTTAATAGGTTTCAAAAGAGGTTTCTAAAGAGAGAACTCCCAACCTAGCACATTAGATATATCATCATCCAAGTGAGACTCTTCTAGCCAGGGTTGCCATGGATGGTGGCCATCAAACAGACCATGTTTAAACCCAAATCGTTTGTTTATTTGCACTCTCTTTCTCACGTTCTTTTCCCTCCACCATGGCTTCTGCTATGGAACCATTATGTTAATAATCTATCATAACAGTGTCATTTAATCTCTTCAAGCATTGCTCTGGATCACTACTCCAGAAATTTGATTGAGACAACTAATAGGATTTCCACTAATTCTTGTTATCAAAGACTTTCATCATTTTTAGTCTGATGTTTATGCTACGTTGAGGGCGAATGCCATTATCTGATTGGACGGTGTTAGTTCAAATAAAAAATTGGACAATGGTGGGGCCCATAGAGAAAAATAAATAACAAGGACCTCTAGGAGGTAATTGTGAAACTTAAGCTCCAAGAAGATATTAAAGATGAGAGGAGCTCGGCACTAGAGCAATTAATAGATGTTGAAGGACAACCTGCAATAGGGTTGTTCAGGTGGTATGGATTCTGTGCAGGAGAAGAAAGAGGCCTCTTTCAGGAAATAGGTATGGATGTCACTCTACCAACTGCTTCCGTAAAATTTAGGTGCAATCCAAATGAACAACCATAAAATCTTTAGTGTCATCATGATTCTAAGAACACCTACATCCTATTACAAAATTTATTTTATCCTGAACTTCCAGTATAAAATATTGACTTTGGTTTTCTTTCAAGTTCTTTTCCTATATATTATGATTATCTACCAAGAGTGTGATTGAAAATAACTAATTCGTACAGGCACATACTCAAAAACTAAACCATGCTACATAATATTTACTAATCTTTATAAAGAAAAGTCTTTTCTTGTAAATGTTCACCATGTATTCAGGAGAAACCAATAATTGGAAAAAGAATACTTACAGGGGGTTCATGAGGATAGTCAAAGGGAAGAAAGATATCAAAGAAGAATAGACCATCATGGTAGGGAGTTCCAGGTGCTCCTATCATTGATGCCCTCAGTAGATCCATTCTCTCCTCATAGACTCTGACATAGATTGTGTCTGGAAAGTGCAAGGAATACATGCCACTATTAGCACAACAGAAGCAAAATGAATATAATTCTCAGCATGCAATTTAAAACCAAATTTGATCATCAGGTTTTATGACTGCTGTAAATAGAGCTCAACAGAATTTGTCAAAAACTTATGTCTATTTGTTTTCCTTGGTTGTACAACTAGCACATGTTATAAAAGCTACATCGTACTTTTTCCTATTACATACTAGTGTGGAACACACAAATTTTTATACACAAAAGAGGAGCACTGCAGGAGAAAGCAAGGACAGTTTTATTTGAAAAAAATATAACAAACTGGTGTCTTGTGAGAATACTGCAGTGACCATAGTTATTATCTCCTGAATCTTGACTAACCAAGTCCATCCAAGTATGCAAAAAAGTGTAATAAAATGAAAAAAATGAAGATGAATGGACAAAGTTAAATCATGCATCAGGATGGAAGAGCTCAGAATAAAGAATAAACCTGGAAGATCATTTTTTAAGAAGCTCCATTCTTGTTGTACTCTCTTAAACCAACCCTTTTTTACCTGAGGATACTGAGAAAGTAAGATAAACCATAAAAAAATGGTACTCGTGACGGATAATTAAATTCAAAGCACAAACTTGTTTGCTCACATGGGACAACATCAATTCATTGCCAATGCCATTCACAAAATGATGGTCTGTATGATCATTTACAATATCAAATTGCTTGAACTTTCTAGGTTCATCACTGCCAGGTGAAAATGTCATCCCACCACTTTGTTTCGTCTCCTCAATCTGCTGCTTCAAATTTTCAGGCTGTAAATCAGTTGGTTCCGATATATATTCTTCCATCTTCAAATTCCTATACTGGGAAAACTCCTGGAAAAATAGCCAATATGAGTTTTTGAGTTTGTGGTAGTTAAGATTGCATGTTTTATGATGTACATAAACACACAAGAGAACAGGACGTAACTGGATCAGGCAAAGAAGTTGAACCACGAGAACAGAAAAGGCTTGTAGCAACATGTGTAAGGAACCCAAAAGCTGCCCCAGGAAACAAAGCAGATGCGGCCTTCCAGACATCTTTCATGCAAAATCCACCAGAATCATCCGTAGATTTCTAGAATACACATTTTAACATTTAAATTGTTCCTTTCTGATCAGTATTCTGGCATGAAATAACAAAACAGAAACAAAATAAACAACCACATTTGTGGAAAAGAGCAGGCCTGAACCTTTTGCCTCATATTCCATGATTGTTTCTCCTGATCAGTTAAGTCTTTGTCAACATTTGGAGGAAAAGACTCCATGGTAGCCGATGGTGTCAAGGCAGGATGAAGAAGCCTGTCCGGTCCAACTATTTCAAAAGGCATAACCTGATACCAATATTTGATATATTATCTCTTTAATTGGAACAACAAGATAAACAGAATGAAACAAGGAAACAGAAAAGCAAAGTTAACGTATTGCTCTGTACAACAAGGACAACAACAAAAAACTGCAAGGCCCCCATTACTTGGGAAATGTATTACTTTGTAATTGCATTTAACTAGCAACAAAAAGACCTGGACATAGAGCATAACCAACACTATATCATTAAATGATGACTTTAAAATGACAAAAAAATAAAAATATATAGACCTAATAGGTAATGGGTACTGCAAGATATCATATCTGGAATCAATACAAACATTGGTCTCACAGAAACTAGTTGTGCTCTTGCACATGCATCTTACTTGTAACCTAGTATCTATGTTTCACAATCCTGTAAATCATGGATACAATAACCAGAATCTCACCATAATACAAAGCTGCAAGCACATAACACCTCTATGTAATAGATTAAGTTCAGGCCAAAAAACCTGAATTCTTACTAGCTTAATCAATGTTAATTACTTAATTCCAAGTAAAACTCCGATTTAAACTGGAGGTAAAATGACACCGATCCAGAAACTTCCATATTGTTGGGACCTTATGCTAACTATACTAATCCATCTGACAAAAACCTGTAGGATAAACTTTAATGGGTAAATTTTGAAATTACAACAGGTAAAAATTTATAAAAAAAATTTCCTAATAGTATTTCCTGGCAATGCATGCAAAAAAAAAATGATGTCACTACAGATAGAAAAATGTATATCTAGCCACAACAGTCATACCTTGGATATCACACCATTGGCCCATTTAACTTCAATACCTTCATCCTTATAACCAATAACATTCCCAATGCATGATAGGTAACCCTGTAGATCCTCATGATTGCATTCATCAATAGGCTTCTTGAGAGAACCAATTCCACAAAATAATCCATCTACTGCAACAGGCAAATTATGTCTTTCTTTCCAACTAATATTTTGCACATCAAGAATATTTTCTCCCACCTTCTGAACACAAGGAATTTGCCTAAGCACGGCATCACCAATGCAATAGGTGAAATCTGGATGCTCAATCAGTTCATAAGCACTCACTGTCTCTTCAGTAAATTCAGTAAAATCACCACTAAAATCAACATTCTTGTTAAGCTCAGGAAGCATCCATTTCACCTTCACAATCTGTTCGTGTGAATCCACATTTTTCACAATTCCCAGCCCTTGTGGTTGTGGAACATGTACTTCTTCTGTTGTTACTTTCTCTAGCACAAACTGTCCTGGCCAAAAATCATGATCACCAATGTTGCTCACTGGAGACAAGGATTGAGTACACACACCAACTGACCTTTCACCATTTTGCCACAGAACATCAACCTTGCTCCTGGTCTTTGCAATCACATACATCTGTAGAGTTTCCATATCCAATTCTTTCTGCATGTTTGTAAAGCACTTTGGAGAACTCAGAGTTCCTGAATTTTCTGCGGTCACATTATGGTAATCTACTGGAAGTGTACACCGATCACCAAGTTGCCAATTAGCATGTGAAAAACATGACAACAAAGTAAGGTTCTTTGGATCTTGGAAATGAGGTGGAGTTGATGAATGGATGCTCTGACCCACAACTGAAGCAACCCAACTAACATACACTAATCCTACCTCCACATGGCAGATAATACCTTCATCTTGACTTGCCTTGAGTGAGCCGCAAAACCATGTTTTGGACTGGGAAATAGTCGGAAGATTAATTTTCACCCGCTGGCCTGGATGGAGAGGAAATGATGCATCTTCAAAGCTTGGATATAGCAGAGTTAGGTCTTTTGAGTCTCTGATCAATATTTCAAACTTAGCCCCATTATTAAATAGAATGGTAACTGCATCAAATGTTTTTTCAATCCTTCCAAGCCATGGCCCATAAACTACAAAGTCCCCAGAGGCAAAGGATCTCAACCTAAGAAGTTTCTTGCTGTTTACATCTTTTACGAGTCCACCAGAGGTTGTTTCCAAGTCTACAATCAGATCAACATCCACCACCCTTCCCAACTGTCCTGAAGGATCTGTAATGGAGCAGACGAAGTCGCCGAGAGCAAAGTGTCTCTCAAATGCAAGGAAGTCATCAATTTTTCCTATGCTCTCATCCAGACCTGACAAGATACTTTGAGCATGCCCGCCAAATAAAGATTCATTGCAGTCTTGATTCTCACTATCACTAAATTCAGAGTAGGAATCACTATCTGAATCAACAAACAGTGCATCCATCATCTAATTACCTGTTAAAAGTCAATATGATCCATTTAAGTATGATATCAAATGCAGCTGTTTACATAGAAAGCCAAATTTAAAATTAGATAACGGCTCACCTTATCATCAAGATAGGAAAGATATTACCCTAACAAGAAACTCTCCCATCTACACCCAAGACATCATTTGTTGAATAAGACAACCATGCACAAAAATGGGACTGTTGCGATATATAGGATATTAAAATACAAATTGAACATGTAACAAAATAACACTTTGAAAACTATCATGCTACAAATCAAGATATTCACAGGGAAAAGAGAAAGAAGGGAGAGTCTACTTACCTCCAAGTTAATTTATCTATTCTATAGTCAACCCTGACGACTGATGGAAACAGATTGCTTCCTGACCGAACAAACATTGCAACTGCCAGATGTAACCCCTGATGTGCTGAAATCCGCTGACATACTATCCAGAAAACAGCAACTGGTTCAATGTTATCACGGTATTATAAGTGCAATTACTTGATGCCAAACAAGAATTATCTAGATACAGATGCAGGATCTACCTGATTCTATCACTGCCAAAAGGAGATTTGCCCAGCTGAGCTGAGTTTACTAAATGGAGCTGATATTGACTATAAAATGCCAAAGGAGATTTGCCCAGCAGCTGAAGAAAGCCAGTAAATGCCAAAGGAGATTTGCCCAGCAGGTGAAGAAAACTACTAAATGCCAAAGGAGATTTGCCCAGCAGAGTGGAAAACTGCTAGATGCCAAAGGAGATTTGCCCAGCAGAGTGAAGCAAACTGCTAGATGCCAAAGGAGATTTGCCCAGCAGAGTGAAGCAAACTGCTAGATGCCAAAGGAGATTTGCCCAGCAGAGTGAAGCAAACTGCTAAATGCCAAAGGAGATTTGCCCAAGATGGAAAATCTTAACCCCGATAGACATTTTCCCAAGAGAGAAAAAGTTAACTCAAAGCATATTAAGTACTTGCCAAATGAGATTTGCCCAGAAAGTGAAGAAATTCTAAAAATGTATCCCCCTACTAAGGAGGATTTGACAACCAGCACAAATAATCTCCCATACAGTGACCAGTAGATGATATTCTTGGACTGTCAATAGATGCGAGACTAAGAATTAACTTCAAGACAATTCACTTTAATTGTCACAAACTGCCAGAGGAGATTTTCCAATTATAGAAAAGCCATTGCGCATCATGATCAAATATGCCAATACCAGCCTGCAAAGGACCATGACAGACAAAAACTTCAATTAGAATACATCTCTGCTGCTTGTAATGTCTTTCCTTCAAATAGAAGTTCATCAACAGCAGTTCAAGGTGCAATAACTAAATCAACAATATGAAAAGAAAAAAATCATAATTACACTTTTCAGAAAGGTAAGTGATATATGCAGCAAAGCCCTAAAACCTATTCTACTAAAAAATGCATTTTTTTCTCAAAGAGAAGGAAGATGCCTTCTTTCCAGAAAAATGAAACATATAAAAAGCAGGAATAACAGTCTAAGAAGAGAGAGAAGAGAGAGAGAGGACAAAAGCCTCCAAAGCTATATCCGACCATGAAAACTTGAGCATGAACGGGAGAGGTGGGAATCCACTATTAATAACAAAAGAAAAAACTCCTTAGATACTATATAGGCGGATGATAATGAGATTTATGGTCAATAAATTAGAGATTTTCTGCTCAAATTCGTGGACCAGTTGATAAAATTATAAAAGTACCACAAACTTTAAAGATAATTAAAGACAACAAACTAAAACTCATCATTTTTTTCCCCCAAAATAAAAACCTATCTACACCTCTATAGATCTATTACAAAATATATTATGGAAAACATGAGCATCGCTATTATTACAAGTTAACTTTTTTGTTGGCAGTCAGAAAATTTACCAAGAAAGTTAACAAACCCTACCCACAATCCTGCATAACTTTCGATGATACTTTTTACCGCAAAATATTTAGTGAGTAAATTCCTTTTTTCCCAAGTCTAGGCACTCAAATAAAACACCTATATGTAGAACAACAGATTCCATGTGTACAGAAAACTCAAAGCCAAAATTAACACCACGTTCGAATTATTCATCCACAGAATCCACAGCAAAGACGAAATCTTCCTCACAAGTGTATGCATTCGCAACACACAACTCGAAAAAACGTTCCATTTAACACTAAAAACACAACAAAAGCACAGACATGAAACCCTAAGCCGCCAACAAATCAGAAACACTGAAGCAGAGAGAAATACCACGGTCCGTATTCCCGACCCACGGATCGAAGAAGAGGAGGCAGTGAGAGAGAACGAAAAGAAGGAAGGTCTTTCAGCGCAGAGGCCTGGTCCCTCCCCGAACCCCGCCCAACGCGCCATCTGCGAAGCTTCCAACCATGGCGCAGCGACGAGAGCGGGACACAACCCCAAATCAGGCCTGTGGATCTCCTATTTTCCCTTCTGCCTCCTCTTCTCGCCCGAAATTCCCCCGCTTTGCTCTGTCTCGATCGTCGTCGATATGCTTCGGGAATCCTACAAGCGGAAAATAAGCTTCTTTTCTCTCGACCTCTTTATGGCGTATGGAATTATTTTATCTGCAAAGATTTGAGTGCGGTTCGTGTTTTTGGGGCGGAAAGGGGATTACAACGCGGCTATTAATTATTCACAATATATATTAAAAATATCAAATACCTAAAATATATTTAATATTCTTGGCTTAATGGAAGTTTTATTTTTTGCTCCGACATTTAATTCAGTCAAATATATATATATAGGTTGAAACTTATTAAGGATGTTTTTTTGCTAAACTCAAAAATTACGGTGATAAATGTAAACATAATTTTAGAAATATGTTTGCTAATCTAATATAATGAACAAACGTAAAGATTTGTCTGCTCGTGGCAATTAAGTCAACTGCGCACTCGTGTTGGCTTCTTTAACAAGCGGCAGACCGGCCCGCCGGGAGTTGACTTCATTCCTTCACCGCTCCGCTTTTGACCGGTGATGCAACTTGCTTGGGTGCAGGTAGGCACACGTGCCAATTCCAATCTGTAGTCCCATTGACCCTACCATAATTAGAATTATACAAATATTTTTCACTCCAATAAGCTGAATAATAATACAAATATTTTCTTGTTCTTCGTAGAGACAAAAAAAAAAAAAGGGGAGGTGAAACGTCAGATAATCAATTCACCAACGTTCGTAGGATTTGCTTTAAAATTCGTTTTGATCCAATCTGATAAAATAAGTAACTCATTAACTGATTAATTCAAAATGTTTAAGTCTCTTAAGCTCATCCTAATAATTCTTTCCACTTTAAGTACAGAATGTTAGATTTGTTTTGAACCGATTAACTTTAACGAACCTAAATCAGCCAAATTAATATTAGTACACCTACTCAAACTTAGATTGTCCCCTCATGAGTAGTGTGAGACTAAACTTAGGTTATCACAAAAGAAATCTTGTGTTTAGTTGAAAGAGAAGAAGTCGCATTCACCTCAGTGCTGCCCGTGATATGTTGTGGGCTGTTCAGCTGTGAAATAAAACAAGCAAAAAAAGAAAAGCAAAGCAAAGACAAAAACATGCGCTTTGCAACTTTACGATCTGTACTCAACTCACGTCGAACGAGAACCGCTGGTTTGTATCAGAAAAAGGGAAAGGAAGACAAAACTAATGGTGGCTGAGAGAGGGCGTCGTGTTGACTTGACAGGTATCACCTGTTTGGTGACTCTTGGTATTAGTTAATAAATATTACAAAAGAATAATAAGATCGTTTTTGAGAAATGGAGCATTGATAGAATAATAGCTTTATCTATCATGACAACAGATGGGTGGCATAGTTAGAGAAAAAGCTTGAGATCATTCCTCATGGATACCCACTGGAGCACTGTGTTGATTTATTGGAGAGAGAGAGAGAGAGAGGGTTATGATGCTTCACTATTATTAAAGAAATGCTGATGCTCCACTTTCTTCACCTTTGTAGTAATGACAGCACCCAGTAAGGCTCTGAGAGAGTGGTAGCTCTCTTGCCAGCCCAAAGGTTTAATGGTCTCTGACTCATCTCCATGCCAAGATTAGTATAGAAAACAGAACAGTCTGCTTAGGGTTGTTATGAGCCACAAGGAAAGCTATGATTTAGCATCAGTCTCTTCTCCCCACTATCTCTAGTTGTGTTTTCTTCTCACTGCAACAGTCACAGAAAGAAGTTGATCCTTTTCTATCAAGTGAAGTTGCATCTACATAGAACGATAGGGTTGGATAAGAGCATAAAGATTTGGTGGGATGATCTCTTGACTAGGGCTGTAGCATTATGAAGACTGTAGGCAACAGGTGATGGATGTGATGGGAAGGACTGTGGAAGAAGAGACTGTATTAGCATGAAACACAAAATGCTTACAGAATCATATGCTTATCTAATGAGGATAAGAGCCGGAAACAGGGACCAGTGATCATGAAACCTGCGTCCTTGGTGCCCTTTGGCATCATGACTCCAACCACAACTAGTAATAGTTTTTGGCATTTAACTTTTGGAGGTGGAGGGGATTGTAGCACATGGCCTCCATGGATTCAGCACTTTTCCACTGTCACTGGTGTGATGGGGATAGGGAAGTAAAAGAAAGAAGATGATGAAGATAGACACTAATTTGTGGAGTGGAAGGCTCAAGGCACCCAGAGAAAAAAAAAAAGAGAAGTTTATTGCTTTGTCAATGATAAGGCTCTTCATTGGGGCCATGAAAACTTGTGAGGTATTCCCATGCAAATGCTTTCTGGGACCGCCTTGCTTGGACTTGGAGAATGTGAAGGTTAATAATGGAGAAGCATAACGGCAGTGGAGATCCCACCATTGCAGGGGTGGATGCATACTAAAACTAACGGCAATTGGAGGCATTTTCTTGACCATGGAAGGGGGCTTCTATCTCCATCTTGGGGCCATTTAAGGAGCACCAAGCTTTGTGACCTCCAAAGGTTGTGCAGGAATCAAAGGTGGTCAAGAGCAAAAAAGCCAGCAACATTGATGCCAGTAGCGCTGAAAGCAAAGTAGGTGGCAAAGAGCAAGAGGCAAATCTTGTTAGACAGTGACCAACATGAATTGGATGGTGACCAAGCAGGAAGAATGTGGTCTTCAGTTGGACAACTAACTGGAAGAGACTTTAGAAACTTTTCAAGGGGCTCCAACAAAAGCCATAAATAAACCCAAAATTGATTTCGAAATCCAATTTATATCAAAGAACCACAGAATGAATACATTTCATCATGTTTTGATTACACTTTTAACTGCAGCAAAATGGTAGTTTAGGATTCACAAGTCTTGTTGATTTCAAATACCAGACTGCCTGCCTCTCTGAATCATCTTATGAAAAATAGTCTAATTTTTTATGCACTACATTCCGAGCTCGAGTTCGAAAAAAAATACACTTGCAGCAGATTCCAGATGCTCGCATGTCCTTATGGCCACTATATTATTGTTGCAGTTTCTAATGGTGAGTGAACTGAGATCTCAGAGATATAAAGTTGGTCTGATCCACAACAATAAGGATATTGGTTCTTAGGCAACAGCTGCCACGTTTTCTGACTTGTCTATTCCTTGAATATCAGTGATTCTCAGCTTAGTCAGTTCCTGGAATAATGATGGAAAACAATTAGAACTCATTGCTGCAGACAGCTTAAGAAAAACTTCATTTCTCTGATTAATGACTTACCTGGCGATGACCCTTGGTTCGACGGTAATTTTTTCTTCTTTTTTTCTTAAATATGATAACTGTTGCATCTAAAGTCTGAATTAGGAAAAATAATGCATCAGCAAGGAACAAATTAAATCGTAAATTAATGGTATAAACAACAAATTGAAGTATAAGGTCCAGACAACCAGAGTAACAATGAAATATGAAGTTGTATTGGTTTGTAGGCAAAGTATAATATCATCTTAACAGGCACTTTTGGCTTGGAGGCAAAAGAAGGCCAAAAGAAGAGAAATGTGATGGTAGCTGAGGATCAGCAGGATGCTGCATGTTTCACATAAATGAATCATATGACATAAGAGCAAAGAAAATATCAATATTAGTTGCGATGACTCTCCTCCATGAAAAAAATATCCATCTAAAGAAACTATAAAAAAAAAGAAAAAGGAGGTAATTGAGTTGTTTCTTACATGTTCTTCAACAACAGCATGTACAGCTGCATCAGGTACTATTGGCCTGCCAACGACTGTTTCAGTTCTTGATCCCAACATTAAAACCCTGTTCAAAATTAACTGCAGCGAGACCAGCCAAAGTGAATAAAACCATTCACATGCACTCACAGGTTCAACTTTGCAGTACAAATGTACTCAGAATTTGAAATAAAAAGGCAAGACTTGAACATTGGCAACCATTCTATTACTGGACTATCCTTTAAAATGGATCGGAAGGTCTTCACTATCACCAAAAAATACATATCAGCAAGGTAGACATGGAGGCTCCTTTAAGGTATAACTTCTATTCAGATTCTTATCCAATGCAAAGAAATTAGCTTCCTCATAAATAATAGGAACAAAAGGTACACAATGACATCAATAATCTTAATGTCTATTTTAATGTCTCATATAGAAAAAGAATATATATGTGTCTTTTTCTAGGTTGGCTTAGAAGAACAACCAAGATATAAAATTAGAAGGAAATATAATTTGTACTAGTCATGGTTGAAGTACCAAAGAAAAGAAGAAAACTACCACTATTTGTCATAATCATGGAAAATATATCTGCTCCACCAATTGGCCCAGACCTGTCCACGCACTTAAACCATTAATATAAAGGGAAAAGTACATATACAATAAAACAACAGCCACAATTTCACTGTTAACCCACTAAGTAATAGCTGAAAAGAACCAATCAATCAAACCACTCTTGAGTTGACTTTCCCAAGAGCATGTGATTTGCTCAACTTGTAAATTCCCTATCAACAAAATATCTTATTAAGAAGATACCTTAAATTTGGAAGCGTGGATAGTATCATAGTACAGTGAATTATAAGGAAGCTAACTCATAACTTAACCACAAAAGAATTACTAAATCATCACTCTTTAGCTCTTGATTTTTCATGACTCAAGTAAATGTGCCATACCTCATCTATCATCAAAAAGGCTTGAGAATAGGTCAGTTCCTGTCTTGATCAATTGCGCCAGAGCTATATAGTGACATTTCAAGGCTGGGTTAGCTGAGGCTAAATAATTAATCTAATCTGACATTTCTGTCAATGATTTGTACCCCAAAAAAAAAATTCAGAGGCATCCTATCTGATTGCTTGTAAATAGAGTGGGGCAGTCTCAAGTCGGTTGAAGGTTACACTATAGAGCAAATTCAAAATCCAAATCACCGGAGTTGATTTATGTCGTCCACATAAAATTCATGATGACTGAAGTCCAATTGCCCATCCACTAAATCATCTAAGAATGAACAATCTAAATAATGGCATATCATTCATTTAACAACTTAACGATTGGATAAATAGGGATGGAATCTCATCACTTTCTATAAAGGGTAACTTCAGGGAGTGTGGACAATATTGATCGAAATTGCACATCCAATGAAGCCATGCAACAACCAAAATCAAGA